AATTTTAGTACATGTCCTGCTGAAGTGAGCCCTATGTTTACTTTCTTAAATAGCCATGGAAGAATTTTTTAATGTTACTGAAGGCTAACTAATAACTGCCATCTATTGGAAAGATATCAATGGATGTGTAGGTTTCCTTCTTATTAACCTGAACTCCCGACCATAAGATTAAATGGGGATGAAATATGGAAGAAACCATATTCCACGTTCCAATATGGAATACAAGCCGGAAGAATAGACTAAGCATGAATTTTCATCGTCCTCTGGTGAATTTTAACACATGGCTACCGGAATCTTCCTACTTTGGCTCACCTGACTTAAATCCTCCAGGTTTGCAAAAAGTCTCCATAAATCCACATCCAGGAGATATTCATGAGTCTGTAGGTATTTTAATATATTCATGAAGATCTTAAAAAAAAAAAAAAAAGCACATTACTTTTTCAATTGTGATATTTGCCCTTTGCAAGAACATTAAACATAAACCTCCTGAGTATAATTTTACAAAACAACTTGGAGATCAGTATTTTCAATCGTTAAGAGGTGTGCTATACACAAATGATGACATTTAAGCCCCCACAGAACATACGGGAGATGTGCTCTTCTGTATGAAGCTGCTGCTGCTTTGTGAGCCCTAACAATACTCCTGTTGAACATAATCTGTTCAGATGCGCTTTCTCTGCTCCCAGTGCCAAAGAAATCGCCAAGGTTCTCTTCTTGCCAACAGCACTTACTTGAGACCAAAACAGCATTCATACTGAGTTCTTATTTATTCCTTTCTCTGTGAAAGACCCAAATGCCCTTTACTTTCAAGAAATTAAAAATAGAGAACTAATGAGTTAATACCTGCTAACTGGTAAGATGTTTAGATTTGGATAAAGCCATTAAATATTAATGAAAACACTGAGAGAGGCTTTATGTCATTACTTGATTTGATGTTTTCTTACAAGAGAAAAACTGCAGCAAGTTGATCCTCGCAGAATACCTGCCTCTCATTCTGTAAACTAAAGAGAGATCAATTTATTGAAATAGGAATACTTTGTATAAATATGATGAAGCATTCAAAGGGACCAAATATTTCAAGAACCGTAGGTGTGAAAAGACTGGACTTTAGACCACCAGCGTTCTCCAATCCCCATTTCCATATTTCTTAATGCGGTAAATGGTACTTGAACTTGCATCAGAATCATCTAGAGGCCTTGTTAAACTGGAGGTTAGTGGGACCTGCCCCAAGTCCTTCTGATTCAGTAGGTCTCTGATGGGGTCTGAGAATATGAGTTTCTAACAAGTTCCCAAGTGATTCTGATGCTACTGGTCCAGGGACCACACTTTGAGAACAACTGGCTCAGAGTTTCCCCCAGTCCAGGAAGCATCAGTTGTCTGGAAATCTGTCAATATCCAAGCATTTAAAACATGTAATTGTAAGAAACAGAAATCATTAGTTCAGATAAATTGGGAAAATTTAGAAAAAATCATCTTTGTGCTATAAGATTATTTTCTTTACAGAAATTTTTGCCATTTAAGAAAAACATTGAGTCTTTCAGTTAATTTATTTTATTATTTGAGTTACAAAGTTCCAATTTACAAGCAACTTTGGGAAATTCATATTGATTGTGTAAAGAGAGGTACTTATATACTTTATATACACTGGGGCATTTGAAAATAAACTCAAATTGGCTTTATTTTAAGCAGAAAAATGCTAGTTTAAAAAGCTTATGTAGCTTATAGTCGGATGGAAAGTTCTGTACTGTCTATTAGGGCAAGGGAGGTAGCAGAGCTCACAGGGTGAGTGCTCTGCAGTGAACATCTGTTGGGTACCACTCAGCTTCAGTGCTCCCCCTTCCCTAATATCATCCCAGTTTTCACCTCAGCATCTACTCTTCCTCATACCTTGAATGTGATCATCTTAAGCCAATGAGCACTTTCCTTCCTTATCCAGGTAGTTGGTTCAGAAGTGGGCATGTGACTTAAGCCAGTCCAATCAGAATGACAATCAAGACTTTGGCTATGAGTGTGCTAAGAGATTCTCTCTTTCTCTCCCTTCTATTTCTCACTCTCTCCATGGCCTCAAGGACAGCAGCCACTCTGTGACTACAACAGAAGCCAGCTACAGGATGACACTGATATTGTGGAAGGCAGGGATGAGGGACGAAAAGAAATTTTGTCCTTGCTTTTGAGCCCCTTGATCAAACCAACCTTGAATTCTGTCTCAACTCTGGACTTTACAGTCACATGGGTCAATAAGATCCTTACTTAAGCTAGTTTTCTGTATCCTGATACAGTCTCTAAGTTTTAACTTTCTGAGTGGCTTTGTGTTTTAAATTTTGCTAAAGTACTTAGCAGTATGACTGTCACAATAAATCTTACAGAAAAGAACATCTGTATAGCACTTGATACATTTCAAAGGAAACTAATCTGATCATCTCAATGATCAGATGTTATAAGACAGAGATGGTACTGTCATCCCTCTTTTATAGCTTAGAATAGGAATCGTCAAACGACAGCCTGTGGGATAAATCAGGTCTGCTACCCATTTTTGTGAATAAGGTGTAACTGTAACACAGCCACACACATTTCTTTACAAATTATCTATGGCTTCTTTTGCACTGCAATGGAGGAGTTGAGTAGTTGCAATAAAGACCACATGGCTGGCAAAGCCTAAAATATTTACTATCTGGACATTTACAGAAAGCATGCGCCAACTTCTGTTTTATGGAATGGAGGACTAGACTTTCCTAAGTTCACATGGCAAGTCAGAGGCATATCCAGGACTTGAACTCGTGTCTCCCAACACAGTGCCTTTTCCTGTTTAAGGGAGCAGCCAGGATTCAAAAATGCTTATGGGTAGAGGCAACCTTGGGAGCAATGTGGCCCATCCTCCTCTGTGGTCTTGGCATTTGCTCCCTTCCCATCCTTTGCCCTGTGGTTCTTCTATAAGGAATTCTCTGCTCAGAGCCTCCCCAGATCAGGGCTACTGCACTGCACAACCTCAGGAGCACCATTTACATGACAGACATCATGAACACACCGTATAATCCACCCCTCCCCACCCACTCCCGCCTTACACGTGGATGGTTGCCCTGGAAATCTGTGGCTCCGTAGCTGATAAAAAGCATTTGCCTGGCACTGTTCATAAGGGAGTATAAGAGCCAAAAGAGGAAGCTGAACGAAGGTGGGATGGCTGCCTTGAGGGTGGCTGTGAGCTCCCTGACTTGAGGAGTATGTAAGCACAGGGTGAGAATCAGGCAGAAGAGATTCAGACATCACATGGGGAGCTGGAAGGTCTCACCCAATCCTAAGAGGCTATGTTTAAGAAAAGAATGAAGAGAAACCAAGTTGCAGATAACCAAAAATAAACAAAATTTCCTTAAGATCCTCTGAAAGAGGGGAGCACCCCCATATTTCCTTCCTTCCTTCAGCATGGAAGAAAGAAACAAGTCCCTAAAGAAGCAGTGTTTTCCATCTACTACAAAAGTTAAAGCCAGCATTACCATCTTAAGAACTAATAAATGGTCCAAGAAATAAGTGCATTCACTCGTGAAGAGTTCCCACACAGCCTCTTGCTTTCTCAAGTCTAATTGATTAGTAGGAAATTTTTGATGTGTTTCCATGACTTCATTCCAGGTCTTATCCTGTACGTGGGAGAAAAGAGAGAACAAAACATTTCGATGGGTTGACCTGTTCACCCTTCCTCTGACTTGCAGTACAGCAGGAACAAGCAATCCCCCAAATCATGATTTCTCACTGCAAGCCCCAGGCATCCCTCTGGGTAGAACTATCCAAACCACAGTTCTCTCTGCATGGCTCTGGGGTATCAATTCCTCCCACGCATGGGATGGACATGCTATTTTTAGTTTAAAATGAAAATGAATTCAAATTGATGTTGCTTTGAACTATGCTGGAGAATTTCATAAGTCCTTTTCAGTTTTTTGCAAAAAAACCCACAACCCACCAAAAGAACCCCAAACCTGGAACTGGGAAGTCTGATCCAGGTTCCACTGGTAAAACTTGTTGAAATTAATTACTGAAGAATCATGAAATAAGAGACTTAAAGTTTTTAAGAGACCTTCAGAAATTGTCTTATCAAAACCAACTTCTTTAGTAAATGAGGAAACTAAGGCCCAGAGAGGGGAATGGTTGTAACAACTATTAACATGTGTACAGGGCTTCACGGTCTACAAAGTGGTCTCACGTCCATTACCTTACTTAAGGTAAAATGACTTTCCTGAGATTTCAGTGTGCTTTAGAGCAGTGGTCCCCAACCTTTCTGGCACCAGGGACCGATTTCGTGGTAGACAATTTTTCCACGGACGGCGGGGCGGGGGGGGATGGTTCAGGCGGTAATGCGAGCAATGGGGAGCAGCAGATGAAGCTTCGCTTGCTCGCCCGCTGCTCACCACCTGCTGCGTGGCCCAGTTCCTAACGGGCCTCGGACTGGTAGGGTTGGTGACCCCTGCTTTAGAGAGAGCAGACCTCGGTCTGCCCAGGTCTGGGCTTCTCTCCTGCACTTTGCTGTTATTAGGAACACGCCTGGGCTTCTCTCCTGCACTTTGCTGTTATTACGAACAAGCCAATAATCTGACAACTTAAAATAATGGCTGAAACAAAAAAAAAGCTATGCCACACAGAAAACAATGCATGAGATACCTTCAGTCTGTGGAACTCATAGTCCCTGAAGTCTGTAATCTTCAAAGAGGAGAGGCAGTCTTTCAGATCAGATATGTGCTTGCGCTTGTCTTTGCCCTGCTTAAAGATTGTTAGAAACAGGATTTTCAATCTTTTAACAACACACCTTTGGTAGCCTCGGCATCTTTGGTTCATTGTCCAACATGCATGAGAACAGACTGCACATTTTGTCTATGAGTCACTAACAGGTGAAACACCATTTCTGAGCCATAGTCTGACCCACAGGACCTCAGAATGTCAAGACATGGAGGAGAGAGGCTGGTGAGGATGTCTGATGCAAACCTCTCATTTTACTAATAGGAAAAAAAAAAAAGAGCTCAGAACACTCCTATAGCAAATAGATGGATTTCAGTCTAGCACATAGCTTGTGGTCCTAGAGTCCTCATATTCTAACTTTTCCAAATGTTGGATCATAGAAGTTTACCACGAGAAGGGGCCTTGGATGTCTTAGTTCAACCCCTCACTTAGTAGATGACTAAATAAAGCCCAGAGTGTTAAAGCAACTTCTTAATACGATAATTCACAGCTGGAGAATACCAGGATATGCTAGAAACTCTAGTTTCCTTAGGATGGAACCTCTGACTCATTTTTGTTATAATTTTTTATTTTAAATAATATTAGTTAAAAAATTGGATTACAGGGCTTCCCTGGTGGCGCAGTGATTGAGAGTCCGCCTGCCGATGCAGGGGACGTGGGTTCGTGCCCCTGTCCAGGAGAATCCCGCATGCCGTGGAGCGGCTGGGCCCGTGAGCCATGGCCGCTGAGCCTGCGCGTCCGGAGCCTGTACTCCGCAACGGGAGAAGCCACAACAGTGAGAGACCTGCCTACCGCAAAAAAAAAAAAAAAAAAAAAAAAATTGGATTATAAAGGTAATATATGGTTATTATAGAAAATTTGAGAAACAAAACCACAAAGAAAAAAAGTTACACAGAGTTACCTGTAATCTCCACCGCCCCTTCCTTCCCTCGGGGTAACTACTGAAAACCTTTTTCTGATTGTATTTATACTTAATTTTTAATGGTGTCATATTTATACATCCTTTTGTAACTTGCTTCTAAACTTTATCGTGACCTTTCAATTTTTTCTGACTCATTCAATATCCTGGTGCAATGTCATGAATTACCTGCTTAAAGAGCTCATTTTACCAACTAAACCAGGAAGAAGCTATCAAATAACGAAGTGTGAGGCTTTCTAAAGTCAACTTGGCTGCATTTCAAATGAATATTCAGCACAAATCATTTTTCAACTTGTTCTACTCCCTCAGGGCACATGACGCTGGCGTGGATCTAAGCAGTTTGGTGGGCGTTTTCCGACTTTAGGTTAAGGAGCCAGAGAAGGCACAGCTTATCCGTTGTGGGGAGGCAGCTCCCTGCGTGTCTGAAAGGAGACCCCGCGATCGGTTCAGAAAGTGCTAAAGGGCTGTGGCTGACTTCTCTACTAGGGCTACGGCACTGAAAGAAGAAACTTACTAGAGACTTATAGGCTTCACAGTAGCAAAGGATTCCTGGAGCTGGTTGGGGGCCTCCTACACTGCAGCTGGGATGTATGCCTTTTGTTAATGTCTGAAACCACAGTGACTGCATGTTGTGGAAATTAAAAATCAGCAGCCAGTTGGAAAATAAAGAAGCTGAGGCAATGGAAGAGGTACTGGAGCTGTGGGAAAGGGGGTGCCAGCCCTCTGTCTTGAAGGACAATCACCGTGGCTTTCCAAGGGTCTGAATGACCTTCTGGCCAAAGTGCTTGGTGGATATGCTAGTGAGAAGGGAGGGGACAGTCCTCTTGGAGGAAACATTAACTCATTAGAGTTACAGACCTTTTGTTGGAACCCGTGCTGCTTCCCCTATGGTGGCACTGGCTAGGAGATGCAATGAGAAGATGTGAAGGGTATCTGAGAGGATACGGAGGATAAAGAAAAGAAGCCAAGGTTAACACTGGGGCCTCAAATTTAAGAACTAAGGGGCATGTGGAATGGAAATTTGTAGTAGGCACTGGTGACACGGAACTGGAGTAAAATGGATATACAGTCGTCCCTCAGTATCCTAGTGGGATTGGTTCCAGGACCTCTTCGGATACCAAAATCCTCAGATGCTAAAGTCCAATTTATAAAATGGATTTGCATATAATCCACACACATCCTCCCATATAGTTTAAATCATCTCTAGATTACTTGTAATACATAATGCAATGTAAATTCTGTGTAAATTGTTGCTGGTGGATGGCAAATTCAAGTTTTGCTTTTTGGAAATTTCTGGAATTTTTTTCAAATATTTTTCATTTGTAGTTGGTTGAATTCAAGGATGCAGAATGTACAGACACAGAGGGCTGACTGTATGAGAATATATGGATCCTGTAGTGGTTGACCTTGAATTGGCAAGCTGGTGGGAGATGCCCCTTCTCCTGAGACCCTAGACCTGATTGACAACTGACCCTGCTTTCATTTAAATGAGGAAGCAAAAATATACAAGCAGCTCATGCAGCTCAGTATCAAAAAAAACAAACAACCCAATACAAAAATGGGCAGAACACCTAAACAGACATTACTCCAAAGAAGATCTACAGATTACCAACAAACACATGAAAGATGTGTAAAGATGCTCAACAACATTAATCATTAGAGAAATGCAAATCAAAACTACAATGAGATATCATCTCACACCGGTTAGAATGGCCATCATCAAAAATCTACAAACAATAAATGCTGGAGAGGGTGTGGAGAAAAGGGAACCCTCCTGCACTGTTGGTGGGAATGTAAATTGATACAGCCACTATGGAGAACGGTATGGATGTTCCTTAAAAAACTAAAAATAGAACTACCATATGACCCAGCAATCCCACTACTGGGCATATACAGTGAGAAAAACATAATTCAAAAACAGTCATGTACCAAAATGTTCATTGCAGCTCTATTTACAATAGCCAGGACATGGAAGCAACCTAAGTGCCCATCAACAGATGAATGTGGCACATATATATGATGGAATATTACTCAGCCATAAAAAAGAATGAAACTGAGTTATTTGTAATGAGGTGGATGGACCTAGAGTCTGTCATACGGAGTGAAGTAAGGCAGAAAGAGAAAAACAAATACCAGATGCTAACGCACATATATGGAAGCTAAAAAAACGGTACTGATGAACCTAGTGGCAGGGAAGGAATAAAGACGCAGACGTGGAGAACAGACTTGAGGACACAGCGGGGAGGGGGAAGCTGGGATGAAGTGAGAGAGTAGCACTGACATATATACACTACCAAATGTATAATAGATAGCTAGTGGGAAGCAGCTGCATAGCACAGGGAGATCACTTCGGTGCTTTGTGACCACCTAGAGAGGTGGGATAGGGAGGATGGGAGGGAGACACAAGAGGGAGGGGATATGGGGATATATGTATAGCTGATTTACTTTGTTGTACAGCAGAAAGTAACACAACACTGTAAAGCAAATTATACTCCAATGAAGATATTAAATAAGGAAGGAAGGAAGGAAGGAAGGGAGGGAGGAAGGAAGGAAGGAAGGGAGGGAGGAAGGAAGGAAGGATCCCAGGAGAGGTTGCACCACAGGCCCTGTCTCAGGCCTGCCAGGAAAACAGTCAAATCATGTCCCTAAAGAGGGTCAAAACGAGAAAGACTGGTGAGCAACAACCTTGGTGACAATGGTATCATAGTTTTACTAACAGTTTATGATTTGAAACTTGTAATGTTTACACTGTGTCCCTATGGACTGAATGTTTCTGTCCCCCCCAAAAATCCATATGTTAAAGCCCTAACCCCACAGTGGTATTTGGAGGTGAAACCACTGGAAAGTAATTACATGTAGATGAGGTCATGAGGGTGGGGCCCTCACAATGAGATTAGTACCCTTATAAGATGAGGAAGAGACACCAGAGCTCTCTCTACACCACGTGAGGATGCAGAGAGAAGATGACCATCCGTAAGCCAGGTAAAGAGCTCTCACCAAAACCCTACCATGCTGGCACCCTGATCCTGGACTTCCCAGCCTCCAGATATGTGAGAAATAATACTGGTTGTTTCAGCCACCCAGTCTGTGGTATTTTACAGCAGCCCAAGGGGAGTAAGACACTCACACAACTTTTTAACCCTTGAAAAAATAATGTGAAAGTCACTCCTATACTTGATTATGGGAACACACAGTTTTCCAAGCCCTGGTTATGAACAACACTAACAATAATATGGCCAGTAACGACTGTCTCAGGCACCCAGCTCCGGGGTGAGCTTCACCCGCATTATTTGACTCACTTGTCACAACCATCCTAAGAGGCTGCCACTATTACCACCTACTTTTTACAGGAAGGACTTGAAGCTGAGAGAGACATGGATTCATTTGGCCAAGGTCACAGGGCAGTACATGGAGCAGCTGGGATTGAAACCTCAGAGGACTTTTAATTTAGCTACAATAGTTAAGTATCAATGTGTGTGCATCCAAAGAACCTCCAAGGTAGATGTCGATAATTGGTGGCCAACTGGAGGCCATGTGGGCAGATTTTTAACAGAAAGAAGTGCAGTGACTACTCATAAGGCCCTCCTGGTGCTGCTGGCTGTGGTGTGTAGGTACTGTGGGGAGAACACAGTCAGTCCTTCTCTGTCCTCCTCACTCCAGAAGCGAGGAACACTCCTTCCCTCTGCCCCCAGCATGCTTGCGAGAAAGGCTTCACTGTGGCTAACTCCTGACCTAGGCAGGAAAGAATCAGGCACTACTGATTTCGATTTATAAATCTTCAATTATTGAGGGTGCAAGAATGAATTTAAAGAAAACCCGCTAGGTCTAATCCAACGGGCTTTCCCAGAAATAGAAGTGTATTTGTGGAATCTGTTTCTGTAATATCTCATTAATTTTTCAATATTCCCAGTATACTGGGCACAGACTGCAAACTGGGGCATACGCTTGTGCAAGTTTTCTTCACCGAGTGAGCTGTTTCCCACACTGTGTCAAGTTATAAATTTGGAGCTGTAAGGCACTGCAATGTTAGGATTACTTTGTTTTTTTGCAGAGCTCATTAACCACTGGCAATTAGCACTGTATCACTGTACAGAGTAGCATCATTTGGCAAGTTCTGTATCCACTACTATGAATGTGATGATATAATTTAAACTTCATGTGCCATCTGCTGTCATGAAAAGATAAAGTAGGATGAAGAGGCTCTTTAGCCATTTCTTACCTTCCTAGCTACTGGAGGCTTAATTAAAACAAAAATGACAATGCACAACACTCACCACTCCTCTCTTGGAGAAAGACCATCTTGGCTTTTTGGATTCTGGTGGGTGAAATTAAAGAAGATATATTCGTACTTTGAGTAACTACTGACAGATCAATGGAGTGCTTTACAAAACCTGCTTTTCAAATGAGCTGAACAGAATTTGTCCTGCTTTAATTCTCCTTCTCTTGAGAATGCACAGGATGAATATTTATATTTATGCAGATGAGTAAACAAAGCAATGTTCCAACTGAAAGGCTGGTGTACTATTGCTACCTTATGGTGATATTGTCCTGTTTCAGCCTCCTTTCCCCTCCATCATTCAAGGAGAAATCTATAAAATGCAATAAAATGTTGAGTATTCTTTTAAGACAGAGTCACAGGACTTTAGGGCTGAAAGGACTTTATTTTTATACTGGAAACCACCCCAGCATATGCAACTTCAATAACCTGACCAAACTTGAGACTCAGAGACTGCATAGGCCTGATAACCCCCAGGTGTGGTTGAGTGTAGATTCCTGAAACAGGGGCACATCAACCCATGTCACCAATCTTTAGGTTGGGGGCTTATTATCTCTATTGGCCACCATCCACATACTCCTTAGGAGTTGCTTTAAATTGAAAAGGAAGTCATTTTTCAGTAACACATTCTTTTGATGATCAGGAAGTAAAGAGATTAGATTGTGGATTCTTGATTTTTATGTCATTTGCATCAATCTCTAATGCTACCCAGAAAAACGTGGGAATCATCTCTTAGGTTTTGGTGAGATGTTCTGATAACTCAGTACACAAAATGGATGTTTTAAAGGTTCATCTCTGTTTCTACTAGTTTATCAGGAGACTGCATAATACTTCCATCAGATGAAAGCAATTACCTGAGCAGTATTTACTAAAAATCAGTGTGCTTGAGGGACTTTTCTCATTGGAACCCTGGAATCCAACCGATTATCCTGCTCATTCTGACCACCTTTTTGACCTTTGTAAAGGGGAGATTAGGTGGAACCTCCCTCAGAGACAAATCTGCTTTACCTCTCTTAGGCTTCAAATGCCTGGTGGTAAATTATTATGTACAATTTGAACTGCAATAATTGGGATCTCTTAGCAAATTTCTCTCCTCTGCTTTTCTAACTTTAGGGGTAATTTTAGGGCCTTGGGAAATCTTCACAAGTATTAAGAAAATTTAAATGTGTCTCTATTGAATCCCTAATCTTTTATTATCTTTATTAAATATTAATTTTTGCCAAATCAGAATCTATATTTCAACAATATCTCTAGGTGACTCATACGCACATCAGAGCTTGAGAAGCACTGCATTAGACCATGATGGGGACGTGAGAACTCTATTCTAACCTCCTGAGAAGAGGGCATGGAGGGATATGGTGAAGAATGTTGCATATCTTTTATTATGTGGTATCTGCTGTGATGCCAGGCACACATGCCTAGCAGAGAACTTAACAAAGAACACCATGCAGCAATTATGACCTTGTTCCTTAGCATGCTGGTTCTCAAACTTTAGCTGGTATCAGAATCACCTGGGGGGGTGCTTATTAAAAAACATATTGCTGGGCCCTACCCCCAGAGTTTCTAATTCAAAAGGTGTGGCATGGGACCCCAGAATTTCCCAGGCAATGCTGAAGCTGTTAGTCTGGGACCAGTATTTGAGAAGTACTGCTTGAGTTTTTAACCAGTTTAGAGCATTTGCAAAGCATCACAGAACATGTACTAACCTCTTAAGGTTATGCTGTGCTTAGAACTAGCTCTAATTTCTAGGGGCCTGTCCTTGAGTAGATCACTCAATTCCCTCTTGGTTCATTCATTTGGGCATTTGGATTGTTGTGTCATATAGGACAGTAAATATGAAAGGGCTCTATAAAGAGTGAAGAGCTATACATATGTTAGTTATGCTTTATTCACAGCTGCCTGTGTAATGGGTGGTTGATGCAGGCTGGTGGAGCGTATACAGGGTTAGGAGTCAGGAGTCTCGATCCCATTCCTCTGACACAAACCAGCTGGCACCATGGCTAGGCCACTTCTCCTTTCTGGGTCTCACTTGGCACATATGTGAATGAGGAAAGAGCTTGGTGGTTTTCCATGTGTGTTGTCACAGGCTATCCTGGGCTTCTAGGGATGCCTTGGAGGTGAGTCTTTGGGACCTGCCCCATTTTCAAGCACTACAACTCCACCTGGATCTGTTTTATAGACTGGATTTCCAAGTAAGGATTCTTTTGTAAAAAGAGCTCTGCTAAGAACAAAACCAGTTTAAAACTACCAGGATGGATGATGATCTTGAAGTCTCCCTTTAGCTCTCAAAGGCTACCATCAGACTCATGGGAATGTGTCCTGAACACCGCAATTGTTCTTTTCTTTCACAACTGAGTTCAAGAAGCAGATTTATCCCTAAGGCCGCCTCTCTAATCTGCTCTAACAGTAATCTGCTGTCACTGGGCCTGCTGCCTCCACACGGCACCACAGTGGTTAGAAGATACCAGTGTGAGGTTGAAGGCCAGAACAGGGTGGGGGGTGGCATTACAGCAATGACAGCGACGCTGCCCACCAGCCCAGAGAGGGCATTCTGCTCCAGGATGGTGACCGTCACTGGTGTACCTGTTCCAGGTCCTAGATGTGGGGTATATTATTTGACAAGAGGACCTTTTGAGGAAAGGTCTATACCTTATCCATCCCTTATCCATCTCTGTAAGTGGAATGCCCAATACCAAGAGCGGTATTCAGCTGGTTCCAGTAACTCATGGCTGATGCTTGTCCTAATTGGTGAGACATCTGTTCTAACGTGTCAGTGCCCATGTTCTATTAGTCATTAAATATTCTGAAAATACCCTTTGCTTATTATAACACCCATCCCATAGCAGATATGTAATACAAGTATGCTGAATGGACAGGACCTGAATTCAGCAGAAGCGGGTGGCACAGGTAATCGGCAGCTCCATCTGACACCAGAAGGTCCCCGGGAAACACCTCAAGTCCAGATAAATTGAGCACCACAGAACTCCTCCTGTGCTCGTAGAATCTGTGTTTAAGAGACGGAAGGAGAGAGCTTACAGATTACATGCCCATGCGTGGGCACTCGGAAGTGACTGCTGGCAGCCCGATTAATGCCTGCTTTTTCAGGCCACTCCAGGCTCCAGCCATGGAGGGCTGTGATGACCCACACACCGTCCCATATTTGACACATTTTTGAGCCTTACTGACTGCTTATGATTTTGACTAATCCAAAGCAGAATAGCTCACCTGGAAGTGTCAACATAAACATACTGGATATGTTCTGACTCAGGAGGACACTAGGAGAAAGCCCTTAAACACAAGAGTCTTTGAAAATTATGAACATGGCCTCAGAGGGAACAGGATGCATGGGCACGGCCATGGCCATGACACCCCTAGATATTGGAGGCCGGTTGTTTAAAGGCAGCCCTTTTGTTTTTCCTAGAGAAAAATGAGGACTGTTGTTGGAAAAGCGTAGCAAACAGGCCTATCTACCTTCTCCTTTCTTCCACCCTATTTCAAGAAACTTCCTGTCTGTTGGATGTTCAGAAAATAAATGCTTGACATCAGACACAGTGGGGAGTAGCTCCAAAGCCACTGGGCATTTGCTCTGTGATCGCTAAGGAAAAAAATGGGTAAGGAATGATCGCATCGAATTGTAAGGATTTTCAGAGCTTCCCCATAATAGCTGTTCAGATATTCCTTTAGTCTATTCTGAGAATGAGAGATGCAATCCCTTCTATTTACTGACCAATGTAACCTCTAAATTCTCTTTTCATCAACAAATAGCTTAGCATATAGGTTACTTTACATACAAAGGAATTTTGTAAGTCTGACTTAGTCCCTCCTGGCTTCAGATAAACACATTTTTAAAGCATCCACAGAAGCCTTCCATAATCTGGCCCAGTTACCTTCCTAATATTCTTTACTTTGCAATTTATTCTCTGAAAACAGGGAATGGATTGTAATTTCCCACGCAAAATGTTTCACATGTCAGTGACTTAGCTGGGGATGCTCTGCCCTCTCTGAACCTGTCTAACGCCTATTCACCCCATGAGATTTAGGGCCATGGATTATCTAAGTAACTTTACAGGAATTACTTGGATAAAATCAGGCTCAGATTTATTCAATTAGCTGCATTTCCTGGCATTTAAAAATCTGTTTTGACTTGCCTTTCTCTCCTCTTTTTTTTTTTTTATAGGAGAATTTGAGAGTAATGTTGCAGGCACTGCTAGCTGCCCAGCCAGCATGCATGCTCTCCACTTTTATTATTATCAAAACCCTGCTTTGTTGGGGGTGGCATGTGCCAAGTTAATGCACTGACAAGCCCTGACTCCCCTGCAGCAATCTGGCCAACAAGGTTTAAATGGAAGTTGCAGGGTGTGACTTCTGGGAAAAAATTTTCAAAGGGGACAGAGGTGGCTAGCTTCTTCCTTTTACCTTTTGCCCTTCTTGTTGTCATGAATACGGCTTGATACCTGAAAGTACACCTGTGATCTTGCAAAGATAACAGCAGAACAGGAAAACAGAAGGAGACTGGCAGGATGCCGACATCTGTCCCGGCCTGGGCTCTGGTTATAAGAGAAACATTCTTTATTTGCTTAGGTTGTTCCAGTTTGGTTGTTACATGCAGACAAATGCTGTCTTAACTGACACAGATCTCCTCGTCCTGGACTTCCTTCTCCAAGAATGTCATCTTTCAGCATTCTGCACTCTTATTTGACTTTTTCACCATCTATTTACGATGAGGTTTGTAACAAAATCATTAGAGTTACAACTTTTCACAACTCTCCCTTTCTTGTTATTTGCCAACCCGATGTCCATGGTGGTTATAAGGATAGAGGGGGCTGAATTAGGTGGGAGTTGGAAAAGTTACAGTAATTTGAATGAGAAATACAATTCTAGTTTCTTCATTTTGCAAACAGGACATTGGAACTGATACATAATGAATTAACAGTATACAAATCCAGCCAGGAATTTTCACAGTGCTATGCAAAAGGTATTAGATAACATAAACAACTTTTTGGGAGCCCCAAGAAGTCCCCTGAAAAGAAATATTAGAAGCTTCACTGTAAACTTTATACTTCTCTTGATAAAGACCCTGGAAGCATACAATGAGATTTGGTGTCTATGGGGGTAGAGAGGATTGGGAAAAGTACAGTAATTTGAAAGAGAAATATGTAAGCTAGGTAAACTTTGGGAAAAAAGTTTACTCTTTTGAGCTTCAACTCTAGATGGTACACAATCTGATAACTATTATGAATTTGGCATGTCTATAAGCTATATCTTTATATTCCCTGGGGACCTCAGAGAGGACATAACTAATGGTGGAGTGGAAGAATTAGTCTTCCCCGGCCTCCTCTAGGCTGGTTTCTATGTTTCTCTTCCATGCTTCTACAGTTCTCTGAAGCAGTGGTTAAGAATGTGGAGTCAAATTGCCTGGATTTTAATCTTAGCTGTGTGACCTTGATCGAGCAAGTAACCTCTCTGGCCCTGACTGCCATCTGTGAAATGTAGACAATAATCATACTTACTTCTTGTGTGAGGATCAACTGATAAACTTTAAAGCACTTAGATCTATGTCTGGAATTTAGTAAGCTGTCAATAAATGTGATTATGTTGGTTGTTGAATATATTATAATATCATGTTCTATTTATATGTCTGGTTATTCCACTAGACTGCTACCTCCTTCCTTGCAAGAAGCATGTCTTATAATTTGTGTTGGTGGGTGCCCATTTAGTACTCAATCCATTGTTACTGATGAACACGAATGAATAAAAGACTCTTCTGATGTTGTCCTCCCTCGAGGAAAGTATCTTACTTTGTAAGGTAGTTTTGCAGATTCATGTCTTATCTCCTCTCCTTTTATCCTAAGTTCCTACCTCCTGGTCTAAATCCCTGTGTTTACTAAGGGCTCAATAAATATTTGTTCAGTAAATGAATAATAACCAAACCTGTACACACTGAGTCATCCATTGCTCTACTTTTGTGACGTGATCTCCTGCAGAATGTGTACTCCACTAATAGCTAGCTACTCACTGTTCTTTAAACTCACCCTGCACTTCATGCCTCTATGCCTTGGCTCAGGTAGTTTCCATCTGCCTGCCTATCTCCACTGAGCCTGACACACTCATATTCATCTCTAAATTCCCACTTAGATGCTCTCCCTCCAGAAGTCTTTTCTGATCTGCTCAGAGAGAGCCAATTCTCTCCCCTCCCTACTCCCACCTTGCCTCTTTATAATGATTTCATTGAAGGCTCATGCTGTGTCTTATATATCACAGAGTCTAAGCACCAAGTATAGAACCTGACATAGAATAGGTAATCAAATAAGCTTGTTGAATGAATAACTATGTTTACCTACAGAATGATATCCAGATAGTCCTCAAATGAATTTGCTTTTCCATTCTGGATCATAATTGTATAATTATATGCATATACAATACACAAAGTGCAATGAGTCTCCCCCACAGCCTTTAAAGGTGATTAAATTACCCCTATCCATTTCTTCCTTGTCTGGGCTACCTTCTGACATAAGGCATCCATTTGGGAGCACATAGGGCAGGTTTTGGAGTTCCATGTGCACACATGGAGCATAAGGAAGACAACTAGCTTGCATAGTGCTTGAGCCATGACGTTGGCTTTGTTGCCTTGGTGTTCAAAACCCAGTGATGCTCATTCTGGAAAGGGGTGCATGCCCCTGGGAGGGCGTAACAGAAGCTCTGATGACATTCTGATGTTCATCAGAAGAGGGCACTGGTTAATAAAAATATCAAGAATTAGTTATAACCAGAGACTTAGGAAAACAACAAGAAAGAACATCTGCACATACTAACATGAAGAGACATGAATTGGTACAGAAAACATGCCCGTGCATCACCCATGCCTGGCAGCCGACTAGATTTCTGGGCACTCTGCACAGGATCCCATGCCTGTGTCAGCCAGGGTTGCTCATCATTGGATTAGTGATATTAATGCAAATAGTTGCAATGAATTCAGAATGACTTTGCATTTAGGTCTCGTGCGGGGAGAGGTGTTGGTGGTTCCAAACTGGTATTTTATTTTTGCTGTTCTAAAAGGACTGCTTCTCATAAGACATGGCATGCACACAGGGTCACTGTATCCAGTTCTGGATTGATTATCCACTGGAAGCAATCACTGTAATAAATTCAGACTTTTTATCTCCCTCCCCCAGACAAAATGGTATGTGCATGGGGTCATGGCATCCTGTGTGAAGAGGGTGGGGAAGAGAAGTTTTTGGTATCTAATTTCCTCAGAGGGAGATTACACTAAGGAATGAGCTGATAATAACCAAAAAATGTTTGGGGTGTGGCTGGCAGGCCACTATCACTGTGTACAGTATAGCTTCTTGCTACCCTTTATTTGTTTGAAAAAGTACACTCAACAAACATCCATGGGAACTTTTTTTTTTTTTTTTTTTGATTTTGGTTCAATGCTTGGCTGTTCTGGTTCTTTGTTTCAGGACAAAATTCTGGATCCAGGAGGTTGTATAACTAACTGGGTGCCTGACCCAGACTTCGCAGCCCTCTCGGGCTTGCCAGCCACCCCACTCCCCACAAGCCCAAACACAACCACACTTTCACTAACCCTGAGCTGCACTGCCCCAGGCCGGTCAGATCTGAAGGAACTAGTCCCATGGTTGCTGGAATAATCTTGTCTCCTTTCTGGTACCAGAATTTCTCCTTTTTCTGTCTTCTGCTGAAGATCCGAAGGTCCACGGTGTGGGCTGGGATGGCAACAATTTAGAGAATCCAGAGAATGCTCCCCCACTCAGCTGTTCAGGCCACACACTCACGTGTCACACTCAGGAATGAGCTTGTGCTCACGTGTTGGTGCCAGAAAAGTTTCCGGTGGGTGAAATGTGTCTCCCAGTAGATCTCAAATACATATACTTTGTAAAGAACAGATTGGTCACGTTGAATATTATTCTAACTTAAAATCAGCTGGCACTTCCTGAGCATGGGCTTTTACTAGACATTCTGTTAAGAGCTTTACATGCATTATCATATTGATTTTCACAAGTACTCTATGAAGTGGAAATTACTGTTCTCATTATAGAGCTGAGGAAACTGAAGCTTAGAAGGACAGGAACTCACTGAAGGTCTCATTGTTAGTGAACAACAGAGCAAGAATTCAATTCAAATACCCAAGTCTGACTCCAAAAAGACTTGTAAATGAAAGGAGAGAAAAAGATACTACAAACCATTTCAAAGCACTAAGCGTTTTTTAAAATTCATATAATGGTGGTTATTACTTTAGATAAAAGAGGGTGTGTTGTGGGTTGAATGGAAACCCCTGCCCCCCCCACCCCCCCCCGCCCCAATATATGTCCATCTCTTCACTCCTGGAGCCTGTGAATGTGATCTTATTTGTAAAAGGAGTCTTTGCAGATGTAATTAAATAAAAGATCTCGAGATGAAGTTATTTTGGATTATCTGAGTGGGCTCTAAATCCCATGACCTGCGTACTTATAAGAGATACTTAGAGAAGAGACACAAATAGGAGAGAAGGCCACGTGAAGACAGAGGCAGAGGTTAAAGTAATGCAGCCATAGCGCAGGAACGCCTGCATGAAGAAGCAAGGAAAGGTCCTCCCCTACAGCTTTGAGAGGGAGGGTGGCTCTGCTGACACCTTGATTTTGGACTTGTGGCTCCCAGAATTATCAGAGCATAAATTTCTGTTGATTTTACGCCACCAGTTAGTGGTAATTTATTACAACAGCCACAGGAGACGAGTGAAGGGGGCAATGCAATTGAATGGCAAGGGCACCTGACTTAGGATTGTGATTCCCAACTCTGACCTTCATTACGTGTGACCTTAGCATGTCGCTTCCCAGGGCCTCAGTTTCCTTACGTGGAAAACAACTTTGAGTGAGACCCTTTCCATCCCTCATGATCTATGAATCAAGGGTTTAGGTTTGCTCTTATCTTCCCTGCCAGTGGGTGGGGCAGTAATTATGTGATGACCTTTATCTTGGCAGAAATGTTTGAAGATGAATAATTAAAGCTCCTCCTTCAGAAATATGACAAATATATCATTTGCATTTTTTTAAAAACAGATTCCTTGGGTTTAACATACACCCACCACACTATGTATAAGATAAATAACCAGCAAGGACCTATTGTATAGCACAGGAAACTCTACTCTATATTCTGTGATAACCTATGAGAAGAGAATCTGAAAATGGATGAATATATGTATATGTATAACTGAATCACTTTGCTGTACACCTGAAACTGACAAAAAATTGTAAATCAACTATACTCCAATAAAATTAAAAAATAAAAAAAATTGCAAGTAAAAAAAAAGATTCCTTCTGTACAGGGGGCTTAAGCCAAGGACTACTGGGTTCTAATTCCCAGGTGCAAATTTTAAAGGAAAATAACAAAGATACTAGAGAATATGGGGAGGGAGGTTTGCAACTGCCCTATAGTGATATGTGTGTCTTAATGGAGTAAAAATCTTATTGAAGGTACTAGTGTTTGGATAAGGCACAGCCTAATCCTTCCCCTCTGCTGTGAATGTTGCCCAATGGTTTTTTTTTACCTTAATAAAAAGTACAATTGAGTTTTTTATTCTAATATTTTTTCAATTTCACTGTTGTAGACTGACAATAGTAAGATAACCCAAAGGTTTTTTTTTTTTTTATCAGGCAAGCTTATCAGGCTTCATTCCTTGTCTGATAGTGAAATTCATGGTAAATATACCTTTTCCAGCAGGTGGTTTTCCAGTAACTGTGTGACTAGAAAAAGTAGGTGTTCTATTTTAGGAACCATAGTGTTCTACCCTATGGTAGAGATATAGTGCAAATGGGAACGCTTGCTTATAACTGAGTTGATTACACAGGAAGAGCCAATTAAGAATCAGTAACAATCTTTAAAAAAAAAATCCCTTTTAAGAAATAATCAACAGAGAAATGACAACTCAACTGCCACTTTATGGAACTGTAGCTTCCTTGGTTAAATCTGGGAAACTGTTTTTCATTATGAGTCTCACAAGATTGTTAGGAACTTTCCTTTGATTATAACTTCCCACTTTCTACCAAAATGTTCCATTTACTGAAAATCCAACGGAGAAGGGAGAATGAATGGGGAGCCTCTAGCTTACTGTCCAAGGTCTGGCACAGAGCTGACACTTCATGAATGTGGAGTGAACAAATGGAACCCATCCCGACACAGCTTGAACACAGAAACAGAGACAGTCTTTGGAGTTCCAACTGCATGGAAAACACACCATGCTGTGACATTTTGGGCTCAATCAGTAATGGTTATTAAACACACACGTGTTCAGAGCACCAGGGTAGCTGCTGATACTGGTAACTTTCTAGAACTCTCGCCGTCTTTCGAGGCTACTGCCTTTTCTGGACAAGAGTCAAAATACTACCCGCTGGGATCAAACCATACTTGTAGAAATCCCCAGCAACCCAATGTACACTCAAGAGATGAACACAAAACAGATTAGGAAGATGGGGGAGGTTGAAAAGAGCTAGAGAGAGATAAACAAATGGCTGGAGGAGAAAATTTCCAGAAAGGGATCATACAATTTCCCCTAAGAGGCTTGACCTAACCTAACTAACCAACAAACGCACTTCCTTTTTTCTTCCTTAAACTTTCATTGAACATCTACTATGTGCCGGGTAGTGTTCTAGAGACACTAGGGATACAGCAATGAACAAAACAGGCACAACTCCTGCTGCCATGGAGTTTACATTCTGGGGGAGCTGATGCCAGTGCAAGAATAACACATGGTTCCTGATGTGAAAGGAAGCTGCCAGTTCCCACTCTAGCCTCCAGCCATGCCCAGATCAAGAAGGCTTCCCTGATGCCCTGAGGCTGCAGGCTCCTCTTCTGACTAATTAACAGTATTCATGTATCTCATCACAAGGGAAAAAACTGTAACTATGTGTGGTCATGGATGTTAACTAAACTTATTGTGGTGATCATTTTGCAATATATACATATTTCAGATCATTATGCTATACCCCTTAAACTTATATAATGTTCTATGTCAATTATATCTCAATACAATTGGAGGAAAAAAAGAAAGCAACACAATAAAATATGATGCTATGGAGGGCTGAGATTTAAATAAAGCAAGCAAACAAACAAAATAACCAAAATGCCATCTATTAATCGTTAGTTAGTAACTTTCTAATAAGCTTTTAAGCTCAACAGCTGAGACAGGGCCTTCTCCCCCTATGGTGTTACTTAGAGTTTACAGACAGTGCTAGCTACACAACAGGTTTTAGGTAAAAGTCTGGGGAGGAATTTAACATTGTATTGAATCTAACATTTAGACACATTAGATGAACGTCCTGTGATCATTTCACTCTGGGGTCAGAATATTTTAGAAAGAATAAGTCAGTGACTTGCATACAGGAAGTGCTAAATGAATGAATGAATGAATGATGGTTTCTTAAAAAAGGTAACATTTAAGTTACACTATTTATCATATCAAAAGCCTGTTGGATGGGTACTACTGTTGACCCTTGAACAACACAGGTTTGAACTGAGGAGGTCCACTTATATGCAGATTTTTTTTTTTCATGAAATACTACAGTACTACACCATCTGTGGTTGGTTGAATCCACTGGTTACTGAACCTTACATAAGGAAGGCAGACCGTAAAGTTATATGCAAAGTTTTGACTGCACACAGGGTCAGCATCCCTAACCCCTGTGCTCTTGAAGGGTCAACTGTATTTGCATCTCTATTTCACAGATGAAAACTCTGAGGTTTTGAGTTGTTCACAGCCTTGCCCAAGGTCACGCTACCAGAGAAGTAGAGATAGAATTCAAACCCAGGGAGCTTGATTCCAGTAACTCTTAACACCATGCCATGCTGCAACCCCCCACCCCAACCCCCCAGGATAACTCCAGATAAATCTGGCTTTGGGAAGCGCTTTCTTGGCATTCAATGTTTTTGTCTGGTCTCTTCCTTGTCATTTTGTTTTCATGTTTTGGCTATATTTAGGTTTTCTTTCCTATTTCTTTTGAGCACTGGAAGGTTAGTCTGTTCTCATAGATGTAATAGTATGTACATTTCCTTTCTCAGTTTCAGGGCTGACTAAAAAGTTAGGTGAGGCAGTTTTCTGTGATTATCGATTTTAAGGGGTGCCAGGAAGGTGTCCCTACCCACAAAATCCCCCCACTCGCTTCCTGATGTTTAAAATTCCACTAACATGGCTTCACTGCTTGGATTCAAGTCATGTCCTCTGTTAAAATTCAAATACATTGGGGACAGATAAGTAAACTGTAAACCAAGCAGCCCGCTTGTCATCCTTCCACCCATCCTTTCCTTCAGTAAGTATTCTGGAGACAGACTCTAGCTGAGTAATAGCTGCTGAGATGAAGGGTAAATAAGTGGTCTCTGCCCTCAGGAAGATCTTGTTTCTGAAAGGAGACAGATGTGAAAGAAATAGGTTTTAGGTACTGTGATGGAGGCATTTCTGAGGTGTAGGG